CCCCAAAACCCCAAAACCCCAAAACCCCAAAACCCCAAAACCCCATTATGTAATGCATCAGTTGACATTTTGCAAATAAATTTATAATCATGGCAGAAATAGTTCAATTAAACGTGGGTCAATGAGGTAATGCCATTGGATCCCAGTATTGGAGTAAACTCATTGATGAGCATTCTCTTAATAATCAGGGAGAGTATATTGGTAACAAAGATCTGTGACTTGACAAAGTTCATGTTAGTTTTAATGAGAATAGCAAGCATGTGTATTCTCCGAGAGCTATTCTTGTTGATCTTGAGCCATCTTTGATTGATGATATTAGATCTGGTACTTATGGTAACTTATTTCACTGTGATAATTATGTGAATGGATATACAAGTGCAGGCAAGAACTGGGCTAGGGGATATTACACTGAAGGTCGAGAAATCATTGAAATGATCAGAGATACACTCACGAAGGAGCTTGAGAAATGAGACCGAGTCCATTGTTTACAGATCAACCACTCTGTAGCCGGAGGAACTGGATCAGGGCTGACTTCACTCATAATTTCAAAGATTGTTGATGATCATCCAGGCCTGATGAAGATTTCAAACACTTTTTATCCTACGAATGATTTAGAAAGTTGCCCTTTTGAATCATACAACGCTGTATTGGCATCAATGGAGCTAATTGAAAATGTTGAGATGGTGTCAGTTTTCGATAACAAGTCCTTGCACAATGCTTGAGGAAGAAATATTTCAGGAACTAAGCACAGTTTGAATGAAATAAATGACCTAGCTGCATTATTTATCTCAGATACAAATGCTCCTATGAGATTGTCTGGACAGATAAACACAAATTTTCTAAAAATTATGCATAACATCATTCCTTTTCCAAGACTACATTATATGGTGCCGAAGATATCTAAGATAAATCTTAATCATTCGTTAAAAGAAAGTCCTGAGAGTCAGCTTATCACTTCAATCTTTGAAAAATCAAGGAATCTCTGTAGCTGAAATTATACTTTTTCAGGCTCAAATTATATGACTGCTTATATTTCTTGAAGAGGAAATCTTTCACTTCTTGAGCTTCAAAAGGAAGGATATGCTTATCGTAAGAAAAACGAAGATATGTTTGCATACTGGATTCAAGATAGCTTGCATATCTCTTCTACATCTATTCCTTCAGAATCCCTTCCTAGGGCAACTTGTATGGGAAATAAGTATGAAGTGTATGAGGTATTTAACAACATTGGGCACGATTTTGCAGAATTACATCAGAAAAAGAAGTACCTGCACCATTACACAGACCAAGGGATGGACCCAATGGAGATTATTGAGTCTGAGTCTACCTTTAATGATCTTATTTCTGAATATCAGCAGTGAAATGGATGCTGATGAAATTTTGAATCTGAAGGAGAATATGAAGAAGGGGAGTTCGATGAAGAAGATGATCAATAAGATAATATAAAGTGCCTAATGTTTCAAACTTGTAATAAAGTGTGGGGTTTTGGGGTTTTGGGGTTTTGGGGTTTTGGGG